TGGGGGGGAGGAGGGAGAGAGGAGGGAGGGAGAACTGGGATTGGAAAGTAAAAAATAATTAATTAAAAAAATAGACTTGTAGGGGAAGGTGGATCTCTGAGTTCAAAGTCAGCCTGGTCTACAGAGTGAATTCCAGTACAGAGAAGAGTACACAGAGAAACTTTGTCTAAAAAAAAAAAAAATTACACTGTAGCATTTTTATCCCAGTTGATGCCCACCAAGGGTCTGAAAAAGGGAATATTTCTTCCTGAGAGGCTCTGAGTGGCAGGCCCCTGGGGACTGCCTAGAAGGCTGTCCCCAGCCTCTGTATTATCACCCAGGAACCTGGTCTGGTCCAGTGAAGGAGAAATAGAAGAAAGTGGTCCAGAGACATGTGATTAACTACGAATCAATAATGAAATCAGCTGATGGTGGCACACCCCTTTAGTCCCAGCACCGTGGAGAGAGAGGCAGGAGGATCAGGTAGGTATTCAAGGCCATTCTTGGCTACATATAGAGTTTGAGACCAGCCTGGCTACATGAGATCCAGTCTTCAGAAACCAAAAGCAAGGACTGCAGATCTGCCTCAGTGATTAAGGTCATTTTTGCAGGGGACCTAGGTTCAGTTTTCAGCACCCACAGTCAGCTCACAACTGTCTGTGACTGCAGCTCCTGGGTATCTGACACCCTCTTCTGGCTTCAGGAAGATCAGAACTTCAAGGTCATCCTTGGCTATGTAGGAAGTTGAAAGCCAGTCTTGGCTACTTGAGAGCTTTTCCCTCCCCCAAACCAAAATGAAAGCTCCCCACCCCCACAGAAAACAAAATAACCCTTTTCCCAAAAAGGAGAAGCTGGGAATCTTGAAATCTGTATTCAGTTTCCTCACGTACTTAAATGTTAGCAACAAATTTAGAAAATCTGGGGACTGGAGAGACGGGTCAGCATTTAAGAGCACTGGCTGCTCTTCCAGAGGACCTGGGTCCAGTTGGAAACGTGTCGTTGGGCAGGCATACATCCTGGATGCAGACCCCTGTGGCTACTGCCTCATCGTCAGCAATGTGAACTTCTGTCCTTCCTCGGGGCTCGGCACACGCACTGGCTCCAGTGTGGACTGTGAGAAGCTTCAGTTCCGCTTCCGCTGGCTGCACTTCATGGTGGAAGTGCAGAATGACCTGACTGCCAAGGTACATTGACTGTCCCACGGGGACATTCCCCAGACAAGCCTCTCTGTCCACAGGTTGTGGGAGGTGACATGGGCAACTTAGCGTCAGACTTAGAGAAAGGGAGACTGAGGCCTGGTTTTCTCAGTGCCTTGTTCCTCAGTGCCCTTGACCTCCTGTGCCTCTGTTTCCCTGTTCAGAAGTGAGAGTAATTGTTCTCATAGAGTTATCCTAGGGATTAAATGTCTGGTGACCAAGCATAGCATCTTCTTCTCCAAATGGAGCCAGGATGTAGACTGTGTCCATTACACTTCAGCCTTGGCCTCTGGCTGGGCCTGCAGGTCAGACCTCCAGGTGTCCCTGCCTTACCTGCTACCTTCCCTTGTAGAAAATGGTCGCGGCTTTGATGGAGATGGCAGGGCGGGACCACCGTGCCCTGGACTGCTTTGTGGTGGTCATCCTCTCTCATGGCTGCCAGGTAGGAAGCTTCTCCTCTTGATCCTTGAGAGGCCCTGCAGTAGCCCTGTCCCTTCTGTGTCCATGGAGGGAAAGAAGTGAGGGCCTGTCTCCCTCCCACTGTCTCCAGGGCCCTGCGGGCCTCCGAGGGGTTTCCTTCATGGGTGGGAGGTGGATGCCCAGTAATGGAAGGGACAATTCAGACCTTTCCACAAAGCTTTCTTCCCCAGTTTAGAAACCAAATGCTGAGATCTTGGTTCTTCACCTCCACTGTGCTCGATGTTGGGTGGCACACAGGACATTGGGGTCCATGTGGGGCTTGGCCACTCATACAATAGTTCATTGTGGCTAAGACCCTACCCCTGTCCTGATCTCAGAGACTTCATCTTTTAAGTTGAGGGGCTGGGCCAGTGAGACGGCCCAGCAGATAGGAGTTCTTGCTGCCAAACCTGGCCACCCAGATCCCACATGGAGAAAGGAGAGAACTGACTCTTGCAAGTTGTTCTCTGACCACACATGTGTGGACACCCTTGTGCACACACACACGACAACAATGGCAACAAAATAAATGCTGCTCTGTGTTTAGCTGCTTCAGAGAGTCTGGAGGACTGGAGGTCCAGGTGAGGCCTGGGAGTCAGCACATTCTACAGGTCTTGGGGTGATGCTGACACAGGAGTATGGGGACACTTGGTCTACACACTGCCAGTCTGCACTCTCAGGCTTCTTGGCTCCCATAGTTAGATGAGTTCAGGCCCCTTGGAATAGATGCTAAGCAGCCTGCTTTGTCTCTGTCACTCGGTGTCCCTGCCTAGGGCCTTCTGAGCATTTTCCTACCCACACAAGGTCTTAGGCCAGGCCTCTGGTTTCTACCCAGAGTCTTGTCTTTGTAACCAAGGTGCCTTGTCCTCTAGGCCAGCCACCTGCAATTCTCAGGTGCCTTCTCTGGCACAGACGGATGCTCCGTGTCCATCGAGAAGATTGTGAACATCTTCAGTGGGCCTGGCTGTCCTAGCCTGGGAGGGAAGCCGAAGCTGTTCTTCATCCAGGCCTGTGGTGGTGGTATGTGGCACTCCTAGCAGCCTCCAGATTGGCGAGAGATGCAGGTCAGTGGAGGGAGAGGGACAGAGTGCTGTCATTGTCACCGTGTCTCTTCACCTATAGGTCTGTGGCCTGTGACCCCCAGGTCCTCTCTAGAGCAGGACTTCTCTGCCCCTGCCCTGCTGACATGTGGGGTTGAATAGAAGGTTGTTTTGAGCCATATCTGGTATCTACCTGCTGGCTGCCATGAGCACCCTTCCTGAATTCAACCACCCAGAAATGTCTTCAGACATTGTCACATTTGGCCTAGGAGACGTAACACTGGAGGAGCACTGTCCACAGGGGTCTGTGGATCATATATCCCAGCATCTCCTTCCCAGACCGGCATCCAGCTGACCCAGTGTGGACCTGGCTCTGTGAGTCTGGTCCAAGTTTCTTCCCTTAGTACAGAATTTGTTCTTAAAAAAGTGAATCTTAGGCCAAGGGACTTTGTTTTGCTGTGTCATCCCCACTCCTGTTCCCTGTTCTTCCCTACAAAGGAGACTTTTTTGTTTTTTCTGAGCATTTCTCCAAGTCTTCTAAGATCCCTGCCTGAGCCCAGGTGGTAACTTATGGGGTGTGGGGGAGCCAGGAGTCCCCATGGATCCCATCTCCTGTCTGAAGGATCACCGTCAGCCTACTGGAGACACCTGGACAGAACTCAGCTATCCTGAGTCCCCACCTCTGTCTCCCAGTGTCTTCCTTGCTAAGTGAGCCTGCCCCCTGGTGGCAGTGACTGCGCAATGGTGCAGTGCTGGATGTCCCTAGAAAAGGTGCTGTCCCTGGATCTTTACAGCTGTCCTGACTTTTACTTAGTTGTTTTTTCTTTTTTTCTGATTTCAGTGGTCTTTGCCCTGAGAACATCCACTTTTGCTCAGATGGTAGGGGTACAAGCTTAGTTTGTTTGTTTTGAGCTGGGCTCTGACTTTGTAGTCCATGCTGGCCTGCAAATCTTCATCTTGAGGCCTCCCGAGTACTGGGTTACAGTGCGCACCACCACACCAGGCTCCTCACAGGCTTAGGTTCCAGCCCTCCTCAGCGCCCTGGGGTTAGGGTGTCTGGTTTATAATAGGACAGATTCATACCAGATGTAATTCAAATAATCACTTTATTACTGCTTTCCTTGTGTGACATTTGCTCGGTGACAGGCCCAGCGCCATCTTTGGTTAGTTCCTTTCAATCACCTGCAGGACACAGGAGAAGGTGAGGTTAACCTGGCAGCTGAGCATTGAGTTCAGTGACCATCAGGGAGTAAGGGTGTGGTCACGGCTTCCCCTCCCTGCAAAGAGGGTCTTAGCCTGTGGTCCTACTGGGGCTGCAGAACAGGAGGCCATGAATCTTGAGTGACTACATGACAATTGAGCAGATGTGTGGCTTTGGGTGTAGTTTGTTTCTTTGGTTTTTTTCTGAGACGGGGTCTCACTATGTAGCTCTGGCTGTCCTGGAAGTCATTCTGTAGCCTAGACTGGCCTTGACTCACAGCTGCCTGCCTGTGCCTCCCGAGTGCTGGGATGAAAGGTGTGTGCCACTCCACCGGGCTAATTTGTTTCTTTGATGACTCTTTGAGCCACTAACCTAGTTTGGGTTGAGGGGCTGTCACTTGTGTTCCAAGACCAATCTGCAGGATCAAATACTGTTTTAGCTGTTTTTGGTGCTGGGATGGAACTCACATACTGTGCACCTGCTCTAAATAGCTCTTGGGCTTTTTTCTTTTTCTTTTTTTCTGTTTTCTTTCTTTCTTTTTTTTTTGTTTTTTTTTGTTTTGTTTTGTTTTTTGAGATGGGGATTCTCATGGATGACCTGAAATTTGCTGTGTAGCCAGGGATGACCTTGGATTCCTGACCCTCTCACCTCCACCTGTGCTGGGATTCCCTGTGCATTCAGTCTGTCTGGTTTCTGTAGCACAGGCCCTCAGAGCAGAGCACAGGATCCTTTTCCGAGGTTGCTACTGCAGCAGTGCAGGCATTAGAAATCAAACACAGATGAAACATTCCTCATGATGTTTGTGTGTGGTACCTCACAGCGGTTCAGAATGTCAGGTGACAACTGAGTGTGTGTACAAGTACCATGTGATGGTGGCTTTGGTTAGAAGACAATGTACACCCTTAGCTGTGGGGTGTGAATTTATAATCCTGTCACCTCAGCCTGGTGTTGGCCTGGAAAGTTTTTTTTTTTGGGGGGGATGGGGTTTGCTTCTTCTTCTACATGGTTTCTTTATGCAACAGCCCTGGTTGTCCTGGAACTCATTTTATGTACTAGGCTGGACTTGAACTCACAGAGTTCTTCCTGCCTCTGCCTCCCTAGTGTTGGCATTAAAGACTTTTGCCACCATTGCAGCCAGATGTTTTGATTATAGGTGGTATACCATCATGTTTGGCTACATTAGGCTGCTTTTGTCTCATGTAGCCCAGGCTGGACTTAAAACCATCCTCCTGCCTCTGCCTTCCTAGTACTGGCATTACAAACTTGCATCACCATGTCTGGCAATATAGGGTTTCTTGTTTTGTTTTGTATTTTTGTCTTGTGTGTACATGAAGCCCAGAAGAGCACTTACTATGTGATTCCCAGTAGGATGGGAACAAAGGTTAAATCCGCTTACTTAATACACTCTCATATTCTTTTTACAATGTTTTAAATAATGAGATGCTTCCCTCCTGAAGAGGACAATAGAGCTGTGATGGCTGAAGCATCCGATGTTGACATTTTTCTGTGGACATTTACTGAGATGATGAAATGGCTTGGCCTTCCTCATTTCCTCATTTGGGCCTTTGGTTAGCGGCTTGCTGGTCTTGGCTCATCACCTCTCCCTCAGGGCTGCTCCCAGGCACCCTCAGGGTTGCAGCTGTTTGAGACTCCAGGCAGCATGCGTGCGCATACACAGTATGGCCATGGGCTGGGACCATGTGAGGCTCCCATTGCTCCTCTGCAGCTGCAGGGGCAGCCTTTCCCAGGGAAAGCTGGCTGCTCAGCTCCCTACCCCTGTTGCCCGTCCCCCCAGTGTTCTGCACTGACTGCTCTCCTGAGAAGACAAGGGGTCTTCCCAGGTGCCCAGCAAGGTTTCCTTTCCCTTTATGGTCTTCCTGACTCTGCCCCACCCCCAGCCATCTGCCCTCTGTGTCTGCCTGTGACTGTGGCTGTGGCTGGGAACAGCAGGTGCTGCTGAGATAACAAGTCATGCTTTGAGTCCCAAAGGTGCTGCAGGCTCAGCTGCATAGGGACTAACGCAGCAGCTGGGACCACAAGAGAAGATCCTAGGATTTGCTGAGGAGAAAACCCATGAGCAACTTTCTGCACAGTCATCGAGGTGCCTTTGAAATGCTCTAAACGGATTAGATTTCCCTCTGCCAAAATTTAGACATGGCTCTTCTCCAGTTCACAATCAAAACGAACCAAAATGGAAAAAACCTTTTGATTTTTTCCCTTTACCTAACTTAAAAAAAAGAAGCATTTATTTGTGTGTGAGTGTGGCTCTGTTTAGAGAGTGTAGGTACCACAGCACACGTGTGGAAGTTGGAGTACAACTTGGTTGGAGCATGTTCCCTACTATGGGGTCCTTGCATTGAACTCAGGTCATCAATCAGACTTTGCAAGAAGTGCCTCTGTCTCTCTGATCCATTTCTTCGCTCTAAGAATCTTTCCAGAAAACAGGCTGAGTGTAGTGTGGGCCGAACTGAACCAGCACACAACAAGACTGAGAGCTGATAAGTATGAATGGGCAAACTTGGACGCAGCCTCAGGCCGGCTTTGGAGCACCCTCTCCCTCTGGCACGTGCTCATAGCTGCTCATTTATATTTGGTTTTCTAACGATCTAATTCAGTTAGGGTTCCCTGCAAATAAACTGGAACTAATGAGACAATGACATCATCGTCCCTTCTTTATGGGCTCTGTCACAATGCCCATCCTTGCTGTTTCTGCTAAGCAGTCTGGTTAGTTCCCCATTTTACAGTAAAAGCAACCAAGAGGGATGGTTACAGAGGAGTGGCCTAAAACTCACACTGTGGGCAGATCCCTCCCTTGCCAGCATCCCTCTCCAGCCTTTGATTGTCAGTTTCTTGCTGTCTGGCTGCTGCCCTCCCATCCCCACCGCTGCCTGTGTCCTCACTGCTCTGGCTGGCCAGCTTGTCTCAGGGGTCCTCCAGTCCCTGCCTCCCCAGCACTGGGATCACAGCACGGGCTGCCATGCCTGGCTTTTTACATGGGTTCTGGGGATTGAACTTGGGTCCTTGTCTTTGAAAGGCATGCACATTACTGCCTACACCCCGCATTGTTCTTTTTAATCATTGTGGTTATTATAGTGAAAAGGAAATTGGGCTTCCAGGAGAGGACTCTCTGGGGATCCACAGGGATAGGAAGATAAACTCGGTCCCATTTGCCTGGGAGTGACCCATCATAGAACTGAACAGTCCTTTGTCCTGGGGCAGATGGGGACAGTTGGTCTTCTTGTGGGAAGTGAGGAACTAAGTGCTAATAACTAAGGCTGTCGGGGTTGAAAACCATTGGCTGTGGGCTTTGTAAATATATTTGCTCACTGACTGCACTGGAGGTCGGGGGCTGAGCCTATTCACCCATAAGAAGAAATGAGATGCTCTTCCTGATCCTGGGAACCCCTGCAGGTCTCATGGCAGACTGGACTTGGGCCTGGTGGTTCTTACCGTGTTGATCCAGTCAATGAAGGCGGAGACCCTGGTGAAGACAGATGGCTTGCGGGGGTAATTGCAGCCCAAACTAGAGCCAAAGCTCACGATGCCATGTACCTGCCACCGGCCATTAGATGCCTGGCCATTCAATGGTACACCGGAGTCCCCCTGCGGAAGCCAGAATTGGGCATGAAGGGAGGAGGAGGATGCCCAATGGG